ACTAAAACTATCACTGCCTGCCATGCTGGAAAACTAAAGGATATCATAGACTTCAGAGGCCACAAGCTTTGTTTTGCCTGGCGCTCGACTCTTCTGTAAAACATTTTGCAAGCTTAATATCATATCCAATTTGCCTTTCATCTTTTCTCTGTTCGCGTGACATTCTGCCAAGTATCGAAGAGCAAGTAAACCCAAGTGAACAACAGGGAGGTTGGGATGGTCTATCAATAAAATAAGGCCAGCCAGACATCCTTGATCCTGGACAATAGCTCTTCTATTTAATGGATCTGCTGCTAAGTCCTGCAGCTGGTTAACTACTGATAGAGCATCAGGTTCTTTATTCACGGTGGAGGATGAAGATTTTGTCTTCTATGTCATGCACATGAATAAATTCTTAAATTCTGCCACTACTTCGGAAGCTGAGGAATGCAGAGCCTGCCAAACCACCATGGCCACATCTACAGAAAATCAGAGGGACCCACACAGCATGAAGCAAGCCCCTCACTTCATAGTCGCAGCCTGAGCAACCACAAATAACCAGACCCCCTGAAGAGCAAGGTGCTGGCAGGAAAGGCTCGGCCTCATTCTCTTAAATATATGAAAAACGAAGTTCAGACAAGTGGCATGGTGCTAAGACTCCTGAACCATCTATTTCCCTTCTAGAAAATAGCCTCTCAAGTTTTGTTTGGGGGTCTACCATGCCCCAGTCTCAGTCCATGAAGCCCTAGGCAGGGTTGTAAGCACAGCCCTGGGCCTAAGGAAATCAGATTCCCGGTACACTCCTGAGCAATTTGTTGCAGGACAGGTGAGTAATTTCAAGAGATTTGAATGGAGTGCCTGGGGTTTTATGGAATCTGCTAAATAAGGATCCCACTGGACTTGAACTGAAGATGGTAGGAGGCTGAGGCTAAAGGCAGAGAGTAAGCTGACCCAACAATGGAGAAAAACACCCAGTAGAGTGCTAAATCTGACTATGCCCAAACCCAGCCCAGTCAAGGAACTATTAGTCATATTAACTGCATTAGTTAACTAGCATTGTCATAACAAATTACCACAGCCCAAGTGACTTGATACAACATAAATCTATATTCTCATAGTCCTAGAGATCAGGATTCTAAAATCAAGACATTAACATGATCATGTTCCTTGGTATGGCTCTAGGGAAGGATTCATCCTTCTGTCTTCCTTGCTTCTGGTGGTTGCCAGAAACCCCTGGCTTTTATTGACTTGCAGCTGCTAGCTCCAGCCTGTCTGGTGTCATGTAGACATCTTCCCTCTGAGTCTTTACCATGTCTTCCTTCTGTGCATCTCTGTGTCCAAATTTCCCTTTTCTTATACGGATGTCAGCCACTGAATAAGAGTCCAGCTAGTAGGACCTCATCCTATTTGCATTCCATTTGAAAGTCTTCTTCCAAATTAGGTCATGCAAGGGCTAGGACTTGATCATATCTTTCAGGGGCAAAAGTCAAACTACAACATCAGTCAATAAATTTCCTTTGAGCTTGACCACTTCAGCTTTGTTTTCTGATCATTTGCACCAAGGAAGATGCATAGTCAAGACGGACCCCCAGGTCTCTTAATATCTTCAGTGTCCAGATCAACAACTGAGACCTAAAGCTGGGTCTTTGCTTTGATCGATCACAGGGATGAACTGTATGTCTTGTCAATCTTTCCCCTAGAAGGTAGACTTGACTATAGACTAAGGCTTAGGGTTGACTGTTTATCTCTCTGGCCACTTTATACAACATACCCAAGGAAAATGAGATTGACTATTCTCTAATTAACTAAAATTCAAGTAGTACAATTGAATTAGGCATAGTCTGCAATAGAGTGGCAGAAAAAAAAAAAATAGAGTGGCAGGCTGAGACATGACCATGACTTTCATCTTGGAAATATAAATATTGACTGTCTGGGTGGCCATTTGTGGGATTTTCCAGTTTGGAAAGACAGTGGTAAGAACACACACACACACACACACACACACACAATTTCATGTCCAGAACAGAACACCAGCCATGTCTCTTTCACATGCATGACCATGTTTACTTCAGGGCCCGAGAGAAAGCTGTAATTCAGCTTTTTATAGTAAAAGCATGAAAACAAAACTTATCTCTGTAGAATCATTTTAAACGAAAACTGCATCCTAGAGGCAAGTCAAGGAAGCAAACTGAGTGGCAGCACAAAGCCCTGTGCAGGAAGAGCAATAGAGTGAGAAGCCAAGAGGAAGACAGAAGCCAAGACTTCTGCAGAAATAAGAGTGTGCAGGAAAGATGCTGGTGGCGTCGTCCACATTCCTTCAGCTGTACAAAATCACCACCTGCTGACTCTGCTCTTCTTTGAATCCTGCTCGGCTGGGTGCCAGAAGGTGCTCACACTCACAAAACCCACCAACCAAAGTGGGAAGGGGTTCCCCTGTAGCAGAGCTTCTGAAAAAGGTGGAATTGGGGCCACATCCCCAGACATGGTACATGTAGATGTCCCTGTAGCTTCTGTAACAAATCACCACAAATCAGAGGGCTAAATTTCTCCCACCCAAGGTGAGAAGTCCAAAATCAAAGTGCCAAGAGCACTGGTTTCCTCTGCAGCCTCTGATGGAGAATCTGCTCCATGCTTCTTTCAACTTCTCATAAAGCTGGTCGGCACTCCCGGATTTGTAGGCACACACTCCAGCCTTGGCTTCCTGTCTTCATGTTGTCTTCCTCTCACTGTCTTCCCATAGCCTTCTTCTGGGGTCTCTCTGTCTCAGATGTCTCTCCTTTCTTCTATAAGAACAATGCCCATGAAATGTAGGGCCCCCCTAAATCCAAGATGACTTTATTGTATCATTAACTTGATTGTATCTGGAAACACCCCACTTCTAAATAAAGTCACCCGTGTGGCCACTAGGGGTTAGGACTTGGCCTACAGGGAGTTAGGGCACACAATTCAAAACACTTCAGTAGCCCTGGAGAAAGACCCAGAACTTTGTATTTTCAACCAGCATGCTAAATGACTTGGACAGGTGATTTCTATGCCCGACTCTGAGAACACTGATCTGATTGCTAGGGATTCAAACATAGGTAAAATATGTTCCCCTGCCTTGGGAAAGCTTTCACCATCTACTGGAAGATATACACATAAACCAATGACTAAAATACAAAGCAGTACCTAGGGATCTCAAGTCAAGCCTGGGAGTTAAGAAACCAGGGTTCAGATCCTGCATCCCGCATTTATGTACCATGTGGTCTGAGCAAGTTCTTATCTGTATGAGAAATAGTTTCTACCCTTGTCACTGTAAGAATGAGGTTCAAACAGCTAAGAAAAATGCTTAGCCACCACATATGAAATGCTGAGCCCAAGGATGGGTTCAGAACTAGCCAAAAGTTGTTATCAAGGTGGAAAGCAAGTTGAATGCATTTTCACATTCCTCACAGCACCTGGCTGTGGGGGGGAAGAGCGTGGGGGGAGGGGGTCTTCTACATTCTAGACCTGTAGAATGCAAGATGGCACTCCTCTAGGGGAACTCATCTGGAATGGGTGTGACAATTCCCATAAGACCCAGCGTAGGATCCACTGACCTATTCACCAAGCTTTTACTTCCCATCTGCTGTGCATGGCACTCAGTGTGTTGGCACTGGGAATACAGAACCAATCTAAACACATAGCCCAGTCAGAAGAGCAATCCTTACAGTACAGTGTGGTCAGTGTAAGGCAGGGAAGAGCCCCATGTGAGAGGTACACTCAAAGGACAGCCATGCCATTTAGGATTCAATGGTGCCCCATCCTTTAGTATGTCCTTATGACTACGTGACTGTTCTCCCAGACCACGCCATTAAGCCCCAGGAGTTCGTTGGAGGCAGGAGCGGTTGTCTGGCCTGCTGACCACTGGAGTCTTAGCACACTATATAGCTGACTTCCAGTAGGAATTTGACACATCTCGTTGGAGCAGTGGACATCCTGCTGCTGTTCTGGAGCCCAACACGGGCTTCTATGGAAGACCACCTGCACTCTTCCTAATTGCCAAGGATGAGTCCTGATGGGCTCAGAGACACGATGCCCGAGGACCTGGTGCTTAACATGAAGCCTGGCTGTTGAAGGAGATCGAGTTGGGCTGCCATAAGATGCACTCTAACACTACAGGTCAAGACAGCTGCCCCACAGTAGACACACTAAACTAGGGCAGAAGCCATGCTGTCTTATTCCGAAAGAGGAATTCTCCTTTTAGGATTAAGACACACACGCTGGACATTCAGTGGTCAGGTAATACGAAGAACTGTCAGCACAGATGGGGAAAACACTGGGAGGCTTGCCTAAGGGAGAGGGACAGCGGCCAGCACCCTCTCATCTGGAGAAGCCAGCAGTCTCTCCCAGGCCTACAAATTCTTAGGGTGGTGGAGCATAAATGGCCTAGGAGTCTGAGACCAGCCCCCTGGGCTCCGTTTAAGAGACTGGTGTAGAATGCATGGTGTTGTGTTTCCACAGGTCAGAGGGCTTCTGCACCTGCCTGGCTCCTTTGCTGAAAGGCCACACGCACAGGAGGCCCGCAGCAAGCACGTGTTAGTTGAACTAAGGTCTGAGCTGCGAGGGCCTGGGCCTCCCTCCCCCAGAGCCAGCAGGTCGGTCCACCTGGCCCAGGTGTGGCCGCAGAGCCCGGATTTCCCCCTTGGCACCACTTTCCCTTTCAGCACCGGGCGTCCAATCGCTTGCCTCGAGAAACAGCTGCGACTAGGCCGGCAGGTGGGGCTTGGCTGCTTCTCCTCCGGGATCCCAAAACTGCGCGCTCCAATCCTGGGCCAAACCCGGCCTCGCGGAGGGGCCCCTCCGCAGAAGCTGGCACCAGATGGCGCGGGAGACGGGGGCGCCCGCGCGGACCCGTAAATGAGGGAGGGACAGCGCGGGCGCAGGAGGCGCCGGCTGCGCGGAGCCCACGGAGGCGTTGTCCCCGCGCGTCCCCGCAGGGCGCGGGCCCGGGGCTGCGGGGCTCGGGAGGCCCGGCCCACCTGCCGCCGCCGCGGCCTCACCTCGCTCACCAGCCCCTGCCAGTCGCTCTCGGTGCGGTCGCCGTTCATGGCCTCCTCGCGCTGCAGGCGCCCCGGCCTCGCGGACGCCTTCCCCTCCTCCTCCTCCGCCTCCGCCGCCGCCGCCCGGCCCCGCGCGGCCCCGAGAGCGCCGAGCGCCTCCTGTGGCCGCCGAGCTGCTGGCTCCACGTCAGCCGCTGCCGCGGGAAGAAGAGGAGGAGCCGCGGCCCGGCCGCAGACACAGCCGCATCCCCAGCATCCGGAGACACCAGGGCCCGCCTCGCAGATCTCTCTCAACCCCTGACCCCTAGATCACCGTGCTCGGGGCGAGAGGAGACCTGGGGACAGGACTATGACCCCCACTAATAGACCAGCACCCACACGCAGCCCCCACCCCCAACCCCCGGTTGTCCTCAGGATGCCGCCCCTAGACTCTGTAAGCTCCACCAGGCCAGGAAGGCTGGAGCCGTCCTATCACGTAGTAGGTGTTCTACAGCCATTGGATGAAGGAACCACACGTTTCTATGTACTTGGCATTGTTTGGAAAGCTACTAACCTAACATTTAAAAAGTATCTGTATTGAAAAAAACACGTGTAAAATTTGAAATTAAAATTTTTAATTTGTTATTAAATTCTGAAGAGGGCCTAAAGCTCAGAGGGTGGGTGGTGCTTTAACAGGAGCCCTAACTGGAAATGGTGACGCATGCCTGTTGTCCCAGCCCTGGGCAGGCCAAGGCACAAGAATCACTACAAATCTGAGGCCAACCTGAGGTACACAGTGAGTTCAATGCCAGCCTGCATTACACAGCAAGACCTTGTTTCAAGAAAAGATAACAAACAAAACCAGGAGTCCATAGAGGAATTAAAGTACCTAAAATCAGAGAGATGTGACCTTCTCTTGAAAGAAAAGATAGAGGATTTCAGGGGAGAAGGGAGCTTCATAATGGTGGGTACCTGTCATGTGGTGCACAAGGCCCTCCTGATCCCTACCTAGGCCACCACGAATAGTGAGCCATCTGTGCTTGGTTGAAACACTACCTATGGCTGAGAAGGTTTGAGCCCATGTTACAGTTAAGCGTTATAGCCAGTGTTCTAATTTTAGCCCCTGTTGATTCCAACAGGGCCCTGTGTTCTGGATATTATCCCTCATCTAGCAAATGAGGAAACTAAGCTCTGAAAAGTGGAGAAACAGTGGCTCTACTAGAACCCATCCCAACCCCAGCATCTTAGTCTCACCTGGTAATTGGAGATGAACTATCCTTGGCTTTGTTTTATTGGCCTGGCAGATTTCAAGATGGTGGCACTTACTGCTTTTCCTTGTCCCTACCATTGGCTCTGACTCTGAGCTCAACCATGTGATTTGCTTTAGCCAAAGCAATGTTTGTGAATGTTACAAAAAAAAAAAAAAAAAAAAGTTCTACAGCCCTTGGGAGGGCAGAGCTCATTTTTCTTAACTGCTCCTGATAAGTCATAGAAATAGGCCTACCATAGGTGGCTGGGTGGTGACACAGAATTTCCAGCGAACAACTGACAGAATACGAGGCGCATGAGTGTGGCCGCTGAGCTCCAGCTGAGCACAGGTGTGTGGATGAGCCCCAGCTGAGCCCAACAGAAGAACTGCCCAGCTGAGCCTTGCCCAATTTGTTGACTGGAAGGATCAGGTAGTAAACAGTTGCTTAAACCACTGAGTTTTGGGACACACTGATACACTGTGACAGACAGTGACACTACTGATCAAGGGCCTAGATAGCCTGAGCTCTCCCTGCAGCCCGTAAGGAAGCAACTGGACCTACTATCAGAACCCACTGGGTCTGCATCCAAGCCGGAGAGCTTTGCAGAAGTCTCTGGCAGGTCAAGGGCTATGAGAAGGACTCCACTGGTCAGCACACTGCTTTTGTGCCTGTTGTATACTAATACTATACTCATTCTGGAAAAGTTCAAGAACACTGCAGCCTATAGTCTTTGTTTTAGAAGTTTATAAACTCATGCTCTAGAAGAACAAGAATAGAAAAAGAAAAGCTAGAAGATAGCTAATTTTTGTGGTCTTCTGACCACTCTGGGCCACCTAACACATTCTCTTTTCAATCCAAGGAGATGGACTAGAGGTTGTCTCTGAGCAGAATACCTAAGGTTAATTAACTCAGCACCAAACACTCCTCACAGCCTGTCTCTTCCTAAAAAGCAAGGTGTTGTCTGCTGATATATTGCCCCCTGGCAAACCATCTGGTTTCATTCTAACCTGTCAATGAAATAGACTTTAAAGAGAAGGTGCAGAGTGTATACCTTGTGTATACCACGCTGTCTGCTGGCCCTCAGATGGGAAAGGCCCTTGCAGTTGCCCCTGTAGCTCCGCCTCTTTCAGCCTTGCTGCTGCTTGAGACCCACCTTTGATATTCCAGGCAACAGGACAGAGAATGAGCTGGGAACCAAGGAATCCTCACTCTAGAAATCATGGGCTTTGGGGACAACTCTCTGTGACTCCCTTTCCCCCATTTCCTTCCCTTCCATGAAATAAGTCAGACATTTTTTAAAGTGCTTAAAGATGAAATGGGGATGAGATCAAAGAGTGGCAGGCCTCTACCTGGCCCAGCATGCACATCAGCTTTCCCAGCAATTGAAACAGTTTCCTGAGCTGCCGGGGTTTTCTTCAGAGGTTTCAGGCCTCAAGTGCCAGATTGAACCTGCTCAGCTTGAGAAGTGATAGAATTACAGACCAACGCAGTGTAGCTGCAAGCGAATCTTTTTTTTTTTTTTATCTCTCTTCATTTATGTAGCCTGACATTGAACAATAATAATAATTAAATCCAGTTTAAGCTTTTAGGCATCTAAACCAGGAGGCCTCTAGATACCTCATCAGCAACAGACCCAGCTGACAAAAACAAAGCTAATTATATTGTGGTTAGCTGTTTTCAAAGAAAAAAAAATAAAATCTAAAAGCACTCACTGACTATCTTAATGCCAAATAAAGCACTATATTAACTTTCTCGGCTGACACTATGTATGAGGATCAATTTAAAATGAGGCACCAGTGTCTTAAATTCGCCACCTTGGACAGAGTATTGTAAGGTAGCTTTAGCTTCTCTTCCCCCCTCCCCATAAGCTTCCTGAAGAATCATCTCTCAGGGCGTAACTTCTCCATATGTATTTGTAGCCCCAGGGCCAGTTTTATTGGTTTATTTATATGCACTAGCATGTTCAGAGGAAGCGCTCAGATGCTTTTGAAGGCTGCTTCTCACTTTTAAAAGTTTGGGAGCATGTTAGATCTGGGAACTCCAAAATAGTTTAATTTGAAAGAAACAGGATGAGAACATATTGATGGGAACAAAGAAATCTCTGGAGAGATTGGGAAAGAGAAGACAACTTGAGTGGAGTGTTAGAAACTTCTGACTCTCGCCATGGGCCCCCTACTGACTCACAAGCCTTGGCAACTGCAGGCCCAGGCCTGAGAAAGCTTTCCCAGGCAGTACTGTCTGTCAGTCTGAGCTCTGGCTGACCAACCCAATGCTCACCAAAGGAACCAAGCAAGTCTCTAGTAGAGGTTTTCACTCAGTTTTTTCTGGTTGGAGCAATATTTATAATTATTGCTTTCTCTGGGTTCTTTTCCCCCTGCCTGAATGAAGAAATCCAAACTGGAAAGAAAATGAATTCTTTTTCCAAAACTAGGGATTGAACCTGGGGTGTTAGCACTGAGCTACATCCCCAGCCCCAAAGAACTGAGATGTATCAACTCCCCACAAGAACTGTAATTGTTATGCGCTGAAAACATGTAGCAATAAAAACTAAAATTAAAAAAAAATAAATGAAATATGAAGAATTTCTTTTCTAAGAAAAAGACAAGACAAGTTCTTACTAAGTTGCTAATCCAGGATTGACTTAGCAATTGTCTTGCCTCAGAAGAAAATTATCTTAATGATTATGGTTAACAATGGTGTGAGTGCAGGAGCCTGCTCTTTAGCTCAGTTGTTTAAGCGCCTGCTCATGCAAATGTAGTCAGGAGCAGGATACCCTGGTTTGATCCCCACCTCTACCTGCCTTACCAGACCCGCCCTTAAGGCAACCTGAGCCAGCCAAATATATATATATATATATATATATATAGAGAGAGAGAGAGAGAGAGAGAGAGAGAGAGAGACAGAGACAGAGACAGAGAGAGAGAGAGAGCGCACACACACGCCCACACATATGTGCATGCATTCAGTTCAATTAGTTCTATCTAAGCCAACCTTCTCTTGTCGTCTTGGCAGGTCCTGCTAGCAGTCTGCATGGCTCTACTCTTGATTTTAGCTGGGCCAGGGACAGCAGGCCCCAGTGTGCACTGCAGCCGGGCCTCCTGCAGGGCCTGGAGACCTGAGGTCCCCTGGGCCACTGGCTTCAATTCTGCAAAAGTGCCCTTCCCTTCCCCTACCTAGGGACACCCTGCGAGGCACCTATCCATCATCTCCCTGCAGGCCGCGTGCAGCAGGCCCCAAGGGCAGAAGGCAGACCCTGCTGGGCTCCCGAATGTGAGCAGCCTCTGTCTCCCTTCGCCCCCCATGCGGCTGGGTCAGCGCAGCCCTCCCTGCCCAGCGGCAAACAATCAGTGGCGACCGCCGGGTCCAGCCCCACGGGCTGCCAATCAGCGGGGCAGCAGGGGGTGGCGGGAAGTTCACTCCCCGCTGTACGGGCGCTAGGGGCTCAAAGATGACTGAGTGGGGTTGATGACAGCTCCGCAGGCCGGGACCGCAATTGTCACCCCCAGGGGGCGCGGGCCGCGGCGTGATTGGCGGGGGCGTCGCGGGAGGCCAGAGCCGGAGGAGCGGAGGCAGAAGGGCGCCCCGGAGGCAGAGGCGTCCCTGAGACTCTGGACAGAGGTGACCCCAGTCAGAGCCTTAAAGTGGGCAGGAAGAGGAGGCGAGAGACGCTGGGAGAGCTGGCAAGCGAGCAGGAGCCAGAGGGCGGAGACGGAGGGCCGGCGGAGGCTGGTAGGGGCAGGACAAGAAGGTGGCCCCTGGAAGGAGTTAAAGGGAAAAGTCACTGCGCTCCCTTTATGCAAATGTGTCGTACTTATTGATAACGTAGTTCGTTTCTTCCTCGTGGAGGGGGGAGGAGCGGGCTATGATTCAGCACAAATTTGATGTAAATTTATGGAAATGGGACTGCAGGGAGGCTCAGGCCCAGAGCTGCTGGAGGGCTGGCTGCGTGGCACTTGGTGAGGGGGAGGTGACTGCTCTCTGGACTTGGGGAACTGAAAATAGAAAAGACTGACTTGGGGGTCACTGGCTTCTCCTGCAGGCCTCTGGAAGGGCTGACCCTGTCGCTGTGGAAAACTTATC